TCTCGATTGTCATCGAAGACTCAGGCGAATCAAATCTATACGAACAGCTGTTTGAGAGATCTGAATTCTGTAAGGATATAAGTAACACTAAGTGATTAAAATTAATGGTCTACTCTGATAATTAGTTTCCTGGAGAAGTAACCAGGAAACTTATCGTCGTAAAATAACCGCAGAATTCCCTTGTTGAAAAACGCACCGAAACACTGATCTCTCTTGATCATAGGAAAACCAGTGTTATGATGCACAAAAGACAAATAAATTAATAATGAAGGCTTAGCATTTTGCTTTTTTAGATGGATTGTGCTTGAATTGAGTAAAAGCTAGAGATTTGGTAATGCGGCAGTTCCTAAATGTTAATCTCAAAATGGAATCCCGATATTCGGAGGAGTCATCGATACCGCAGATGAAGATGCCACGTTAAAAATATTGACACTGTATTGAAACGAGGAAAATGCACAGTGTAAAGAAAGAAAAATCAGTTTCTCACATGCTCTGCCCCTTTGCTTCGAGACGCCTAGGGGACCATTTAAGAAATCCACGGCTCCATGGTATTTAAGCGCTTGCAGTGCATAGGGCGCAGGACCGCGTCTTGAACATAGGTTGAGCCAAAGTATGTTCAAGCAAGAAACATTGGCGCGATCCGTAGAAGAAAGAGTGACAAAATGGAACCCCCGATATTCTGGGGAGGGGGCCATCGAGTTTTCCCTTCGCAGAAGATTTTGCGCATTAAATTTCAAGTATGGAAGTAAAAGAAAAATTGAAGTTGAAATGTCCGTCTTCCTTGCACTTACATGATGGAGCTAATTGCGGCACTCATGTTTTCATTACGTTAATAGCGGGACGATGATGTTTATTTCCATGCCACCAGCCAGGAGTGCATTATTTTTTTAAGGCAGAATCGATAGCAGTTATTTGATCAGCATAGTACGTATTCTCCAGTTTCCTTCCCATTCATTTATCACAGTTGTACTCGTTTATCAACCTTGGAAGGAAGAGAGGCGATTGAGCCCAACCGGGGCTGAAACCCCGGATTTCTCTGTTCTGAATCCGACGCTTTATCGACAGAGCAGACCAGGTCACTGAAGCAACGTGAGGTGAATTTGTAGCTCAACGGATTTCCTGGTAAAGACACAGATTGCACGACGGAGGAATGGAACTCAGCACCTCCGCCAGCTGAATTCGTATTCGAAGCTGGGCTCGTATGCACCGTACTCCACGTCAACATGAAATTTTAAAACTTCACTTCGCATTTTCGATCAATGGTTCGAGGCAGAACAGTGCTGGAAGTTTTATATATTTCTCGCTTCATTGCGGTGCAGCTCATCGATCGAACAGGAGTGTCAATCTAGCAGAGCATCGAAAAAAGTACAAGACCCATTTTACAGTTTAAAATATAAGGTTCCTTAAAGAATGGCATTAAATGCTTTGGATTCGCTGCTTCAACAATTAAAATACTTCTATAACAATCTAAGGTTTATTATCCTCCAATCAGTTTTGTCACGGTTTAAAATTGTGCTTTTGATTATGACAGTGCAATGTTTGTAAATGCACACCACAGCGGGATTTACAACATGTCAAAATTGTGCAGATATTCTTACTTGTTTTTTTTTCCATTAAATTTGCGTTAAACTTTTCGTGCAGTTTAAAACAGTACAGAGGTTACCGTTGAAGTTCAAATTTGCCCCTCAAGCAGAACAAGTACCCGTTTTGTACGGCACAGGTTTTAACTGAACAGTTCCTTTACCATGAAGCACGTGCTGCAAATGGGTGGCTGTGGAGTTGTACGAGTTCCTCGTAGTTTGTTTAAAATTTTTTGTTTGTCGTTGCTTACTTTTGTAATAGAAGGCAGTGCTCATAATTCTTCGTATGCACTGCTCCCTAATGATACGGCACCCGCACCTGAAAGTAGGGACACCGAGTCATGGCTGGTCACCGCTAGGTTTACTGTATGGCTGTACTGTACTTTCTTTCTACTGCTTGGTTGTACATTGGCTGTGTCGCTGATTTGTCACAGGCAAAATCGGCGGCTCATGCGGGAGGCGGAAATTCAAGACGAACTCGAGTCATTGTTCAGACAGCGCCAGCGACTGAACAACTTCGCCTCAAAACTGATGGATTTGGCGGAGGAAGACTTCGAGATAGAAATGCGCACTCCGTCAAGACCGAACTCAATTAAATCTGTCTCTGCCAGCAATTCGTCAAAAACAGAGACGACGGCGACCAGTTCAAATGGAAACATCGTCTCTGAGACATAAATCAACGCCAACGCCATTGTTAGGGGCGATGTTATATTTTTGATGCTGTACCATTCCGTCTGACGGACGCTTTCTTATGGTTTTATGTAGATAAGCTAACGTACAGGGCTTTAGAGACTTGTTTCTAAAATAAACTGGAAATGCCAGAACATATGAGACAGTTTTAATTTGCATCATACCAACCGAAACCTTTTAGTCTATCATATTGATCGTCACTGAGCAGGTTATAAAATACATGCAAATACATAAATCATCAGCAGACATTTTCGATCCACTGCTGTATCAAGGCCTCACCAACAGTTTGCCGCAAAAATTGTATTTTCGTGATTCTTGTCCATCTTGATTAAATGATCTTCATTTCATCCTTCGTCGATTGGTGGCTGTTCTTACGGTCCGTTCGCCATCTTTAAGAACCCAACCTACCGTCTCTCTGATCCGAACATTGTTGGCTGTTCTTGCAACCTGTTCCATCTGTTGCCACCCTTAACTTCTTTGCTCATACAATGACATCGACTTGTCGTTTTCAGCATACATATTTCTTGCTGCGTCGCGTTATCTGCAGTTTATGAACCGCTTCTCAACGTTTCACAGCCACAGGTTAGACCTGCACTACAGACTGATCGAATGCTTCTCATCTCCAGCACAAGGGTAGTTTCTCGGTGGGAAATATTTCCAGTTTTCTGAAAGTGCTGCATTCCATAAAACTGTATCATGCCGCATGATCCTTCCTTTGCAACGATAAACTGTCTGAGACGAAACATGCATGCATGTAAAAACTAATTTCATCTGTAAATCATTTCAAGTTTCTTCTTGACATCCATCGTACTTTCCTGGGCTATCTTTTGGCAGTTTTGTGGCGACTTTGACAATCGAAATACACTTAAATGAAGTAGCACAGAGATGTCCTGCTAGAACATACATGCATTGCCGCATCGCATACTCGCCCATGTGAATGAGTGCCTGCATTTAAGCTATAGCTTATTTTTGTTGTTCTCGAATTTAATGCTACTAAAACCTGCTGTTACCATTTTTACTGCCTGTGCTAAAGTCGACTTTCATTCTCATACTGACAAACAGGCATGAGTAATTGGTTCTGACAAAAACTTTGATCCCTGATAAAAGCTGCTGAATTGGCTTCCTAAGACAAATTGCTGGACCCTCACTTTTTGACAAGTTCCGGAGTTCAGATATCCAGGAGGGCATTGGGGTATGGTTTCCACTTTTCCAAGTTAAGAATTTGCCGCTGGGATGATATGATCACGTTTTGCGATTGCTTTCAGAAAGAAAGGCTTAGAGAGCAGCTATTAATTTGTTCTATCGACCAGCCGACTGCCTCGGAGACGGCTGAAAATGACACGAGGCAAATGCCTCGACGGACTCTGCTGCAGACTCAGGGTTTATTTTATCGAAGCTGAAAAGACAGGAAAGTTGGAGCTGAAAGGATAAAGATTCATCTAATCTGACTACCAACCGAACTTTAAACTACAGTGCCCATTCTGTTTAAGCCTCGCTCGAGTAGCATATCAAGAATATCAATACGGCATTTGTGCTGCCGCGGAATATTTACCCGCGAAGCCCCATCGCTGAGAGAGCAGGGATTAATTGAGGTAGTTTTGAAAACAGTTCACCCAAGTTAGGACAGTGAAGACGATGGCAGTGAAATGACTTTGTTCTGGTTCACAGCGAATGGCCCTGCAAGAAGTAAAAGTCAATCGTAAGGCTGCATGCACTTGACGACCTGCCTTCGGTAAAAATTCAGTATTGAGGCAAATTGTTCATGCAACATTCGACCAATGTCCCATTACAGTTCGTTTTGTGAAATTTTGAACAGCGCAACATGGACGAACGGTCCGTCGCCCTACAGTGGCCGATTCTATGCTCATTACATCGACGGCAAGGTGACATTTCTATTCGCAATCAGGTCTTCCTCCAGTAAATCTTATGTCCGAATTGTGATAGCAAAGAAGCACGTATGCCCTGTTTTATT